AGAGGGTTTTATCTTAAAAAGTTCAGCTTTTGAGAGCAGTACGTTGTTTTAAGTTTGGTGAAAATTCAGTGAATAAAGTCCACAGCAAGTCATTTTAAATAGTCATAACTATGATAGCCAGTGGCCAAAACATTATTGAAAGAGTAGTGCTTCCCGATGGGGAATTGAACCCCACTCTCCCGCGTGACAGGCGCAGATACTAACCACTATATTATCGAGGACTCGCTCAAGATGTGGCTAATTCTTGATTGAATGAAATTATAACAAGTATAAAAAACCTCATGTACTCAGTAAACAAACGCTTGAAATGAAAAAGGATTAATCTTTAAAAGTTCAGTATTTGAGAGCAGCAGGTTGCTTTACGTCTGGTGAAAATTCAGTGATTAAATTCAACAGCAAGTTGTTTTAAATAGTAATAACAATAAGGAGATGCAGTGGCCAAAACATTATTAAAAGAACCGTTCTCCCCGACGGGGAATTGAACCCCGGTCTCCCGCGTGACAGGCGGGATACTAACCACTATACTATCGAGGACTCGCTCAAAATGTGGCTAATTCTTGATTGAATGAAATAATACCAAGTGTAAATAAACTCATATAGTGAGTAAGTAATAGCTTGAAATGAAGAGGGTTTTATCTTAAAAAGTTCAGCTTTTGAGAGCAGTACGTTGTTTTAAGTTTGGTGAAAATTCAGTGAATAAAGTCCACAGCAAGTCATTTTAAATAGTCATAACTATGATAGCCAGTGGCCAAAACATTATTGAAAGAGTAGTGCTTCCCGATGGGGAATTGAACCCCACTCTCCCGCGTGACAGGCGCAGATACTAACCACTATATTATCGAGGACTCGCTCAAGATGTGGCTAATTCTTGATTGAATGAAATTATAACAAGTATAAAAAACCTCATGTACTCAGTAAACAAACGCTTGAAATGAAAAAGGATTAATCTTTAAAAGTTCAGTATTTGAGAGCAGCAGGTTGCTTTACGTCTGGTGAAAATTCAGTGATTAAATTCAACAGCAAGTTGTTTTAAATAGTAATAACAATAAGGAGATGCAGTGGCCAAAACATTATTAAAAGAACCGTTCTCCCCGACAGGGAATTGAACCCCGGTCTCCCGCGTGACAGGCGGGGATACTAACCACTATACTATCGAGGACTCGCTCAAGATGTGACTGATTCTTGATTGAATGAAATTATAACAAGTATAAAAAACCTCATGTACTCAGTAAACAAACGCTTGAAATGAAAAAGGATTAATCTTTAAAAGTTCAGTATTTGAGAGCAGCAGGTTGCTTTACGTCTGGTGAAAATTCAGTGATTAAATTCAACAGCAAGTTGTTTTAAATAGTAATAACAATAAGGAGATGCAGTGGCCAAAACATTATTAAAAGAACCGTTCTCCCCGACGGGGAATTGAACCCCGGTCTCCCGCGTGACAGGCGGGGATACTAACCACTATATTATCGAGGACTCGCTCAGGATGTGACTGATTCTTGATTGAATGAAATTATAACAAGTATAAAAAAAACCTCATGTACTCGGTAAACAAACGCTTGAAATGAAGAAGGATTAATCTTTAAAAGTTCAGTATTTGAGAGCAGCAGGTTGCTTTACGTCTGGTGAAAATTCAGTGATTAAATTCAACAGCAAGTCCTTTTAAATAGTAATAACAATAAGAGATGCAGTGGCCAAAACATTATTAAAAGGACTGTTCTCCCCGACGGGCAATTTAACCTCGGTCTCCCGCGTGACAGGCGGGGATACTAACCACTATACTATCGAGGACTCGCTCAAGATGTGACTGATTCTTGATTGAATGAAATTATAACAAGTATAAAAAACCTCGTACTCAGTAAACAAACGCTTGAAATGAAAAAGGATTAATCTTTAAAAGTTCAGTCTTTGAGAGCAGCAGGTTGCTTTACGTTTGGTGAAAATTCAGTGATTAATGTCAACAGCAAGTCCTTTTAAATAGTAATAACAATAAGGAGATGCAGTGGCCAAAACATTATTAAAAGAACTGTTCTCCCCGACGGGCAATTTAACCTCGGTCTCCCGCGTGACAGGCGGGGATACTAACCACTATATTATCGAGGACTCGCTCTGGATGTGCTAATTCTTTATTGAATGAAATTATAACAAGTATACATAAGTACGCATTTTGGCGTCATCTGGTCGAGCAACAATTGTATCGAGGCTCAAAGAAAGCCTTCCCTTGGTGTGGACCAATCAGTTTCAAGGACAATGCATATATGATCATAGAATGTTTTCTGTTTGCATTTTGACTGCAGGTATTTTGGTTAATGCAGACATGATTCCTTGTAAAAAGGTTTCAGTTTTGTTGCCAAAAAAATGGGGAAAACCCTAATATTATAAGTATAAATAAACTCATATAGTGACTAAATATCCGCTTAAAATGAAGAGGGCTTCATCTTTAAAAGTTCAGTCTTCGAGAGCAGCAGGTTGCTTAACGTTTGGTGAAAAATCAGTGATGGAAGTCAACAGCAAGTCCTTTTAAATAGTCAGAACAATAGGGAGATCCTGTGGCCAAAGCGTTGTTAAAAGAGTCGTTCTCCCCGACAGGGAAATGAACCCGGGTCTCCCGCGTGACAGGCGCAGATACTAACCACTATATTATCGAGGACTCGCTCAAGATGTGGCTAATTCTTGATTGAATGAAATTATAACAAGTATAAAAACCTCATGTACTCAGTAAATAAACGCTTGAAATGAAAAAGGATAATCTTTAAAAGTTCAGTATTTGAGAGCAGCAGGTTGCTTTACGTCTGGTGAAAATTCAATGATTAAATTCAACAGCAAGTCCTTTTAAATAGTGATAACAATAAGGAGATGTAGTGGCCAAAACATTATTAAAAGAACTGTTCCCCCCGACGGGGAATTGAACCCCGGTCTCCCGCGTGACAGGCGGGGATACTAACCACTATACTATCGAGGACTCGCTCAAAATGTGGCTAATTCTTGATTGAATGAAATAATACCAAGTGTAAATAAACTCATATAGTGAGTAAGTAATAGCTTGAAATGAAGAGGGTTTTATCTTAAAAAGTTCAGCTTTTGAGAGCAGTACGTTGTTTTAAGTTTGGTGAAAATTCAGTGAATAAAGTCCACAGCAAGTCATTTTAAATAGTCATAACTATGATAGCCAGTGGCCAAAACATTATTGAAAGAGTAGTGCTTCCCGATGGGGAATTGAACCCCACTCTCCCGCGTGACAGGCGCAGATACTAACCACTATATTATCGAGGACTCGCTCAAGATGTGGCTAATTCTTGATTGAATGAAATTATAACAAGTATAAAAAACCTCATGTACTCAGTAAACAAACGCTTGAAATGAAAAAGGATTAATCTTTAAAAGTTCAGTATTTGAGAGCAGCAGGTTGCTTTACGTCTGGTGAAAATTCAGTGATTAAATTCAACAGCAAGTTGTTTTAAATAGTAATAACAATAAGGAGATGCAGTGGCCAAAACATTATTAAAAGAACCGTTCTCCCCGACGGGGAATTGAACCCCGGTCTCCCGCGTGACAGGCGGGGATACTAACCACTATACTATCGAGGACTCGCTCAAGATGTGACTGATTCTTGATTGAATGAAATTATAACAAGTATAAAAAACCTCATGTACTCAGTAAACAAACGCTTGAAATGAAAAAGGATTAATCTTAAAAGTTCAGTCTTTAAGAGCAGTAGGTTGCTTAACGTTTGGTGAAAAATCAGTGATTAAAGTCAACAGCAAGTTGTTTTAAATAGTAATAACAATAAGGAGATGTAGTGGCCAAAACATTATTAAAATAACCGTTCTCCCCGACGGGGAATTGACCCCCGGTCTCCCGCGTGACAGGCCGGGATACCAACCACTATACTATCGAGGACTCGCACTGGATGTGCTAATTCTTGATTGAATGAAATTATAACAAGTATACATAAGTACGCCTTTGGGCGTCATCTGGTCGAACACCAATTGGGTCGAGGCTCAAAATAAGGCCGTCCCTTGGTGTGGACCAATCAGTTTCAAGGACAATGCATATATTATCATAGAATGTTTTCTGTTTGCATTTTGACTGCAGGTATTTTGGTTAATGCAGACATGATTCCTTGTAAAAAGGTTTCAGTTTTGTTGCCAGAAAAAAGGGTAAAACCCTAATATTATAAGTATAAATAAACTCATATAGTGACTAAATATTCGCTTAAAATGAAGAGGGCTTCATCTTTAAAAGTTCAGTCTTTGAGAGCAGCAGGTTGCTTAACGTTTGGTGAAAAATCAGTGATTAAAGTCAACAGCAAGTCCTTTTAAATAGTCAGAACAATAGGGAGATCCTGTGGCCAAAGCGTTGTTAAAAGAGTCGTTCTCCCCGACAGGGAAATGAACCCCGGTCTCCCGCGTGACAGGCGCAGATACTAACCACTATATTATCGAGGACTCGCTCAAGATGTGGCTAATTCTTGATTGAATGAAATTATAACAAGTGTAAAAACCTCATGTACTCAGTAAATAAACGCTTGAAATGAAAAAGGATTAATCTTTAAAAGTTCAGTATTTGAGAGCAGCAGGTTGCTTTACGTCTGGTGAAAATTCAATGATTAAATTCAACAGCAAGTCCTTTTAAATAGTGATAACAATAAGGAGATGTAGTGGCCAAAACATTATTAAAAGAACTGTTCCCCCCGACGGGGAATTGAACCCCGGTCTCCCGCGTGACAGGCGGGGATACTAACCACTATACTATCGAGGACTCGCTCAAAATGTGGCTAATTCTTGATTGAATGAAATAATACCAAGTGTAAATAAACTCATATAGTGAGTAAGTAATAGCTTGAAATGAAGAGGGTTTTATCTTAAAAAGTTCAGCTTTTGAGAGCAGTACGTTGCTTTAAGTTTGGTGAAAAATTCAGTGAATAAAGTCAACAGCAAGTCATTTTAAATAGTCATAACATATGATAGCCAGTGGCCAAAACATTATTAAAAGAGTAGTGCTTCCCCGATGGGGAATTGAACCCCAGGCTCTCCCGCGTGACAGGCGGGGATACTAACCACTATATTATCGAGGACTCGCTCTGGATGTGCCAATTCTTGATTGAATGAAATTATAACAAGTATAAAAAACCTCATGTACTCAGTATATACACGCTTGAAATGAAAAAGGATTAATCTTTAAAAGTTCAGTATTTGAGAGCAGCAGGTTGCTTTACGTCTGGTGAAAATTCAGTGATTAAATTCAACAGCAAGTCCTTTTAAATAGTAATAACAATAAGGAGATGCTAGTGGCCAAAACATTATTAAAAGAACCTGTTTCTCCCCGACGGGGAATTGAACCCCGGTCTCCCGCGTGACAGGCGGGGATACTAACCACTATACTATCGAGGACTCGCTCAAAATGTGGCTAATTCTTGATTGAATGAAATAATACCAAGTGTAAATAAACTCATATAGTGAGTAAGTAATAGCTTGAAATGAAGAGGGTTTTATCTTAAAAAGTTCAGCTTTTGAGAGCAGTACGTTGTTTTAAGTTTGGTGAAAATTCAGTGAATAAAGTCCACAGCAAGTCATTTTAAATAGTCATAACTATGATAGCCAGTGGCCAAAACATTATTGAAAGAGTAGTGCTTCCCGATGGGGAATTGAACCCCACTCTCCCGCGTGACAGGCGCAGATACTAACCACTATATTATCGAGGACTCGCTCAAGATGTGGCTAATTCTTGATTGAATGAAATTATAACAAGTATAAAAAACCTCATGTACTCAGTAAACAAACGCTTGAAATGAAAAAGGATTAATCTTTAAAAGTTCAGTATTTGAGAGCAGCAGGTTGCTTTACGTCTGGTGAAAATTCAGTGATTAAATTCAACAGCAAGTTGTTTTAAATAGTAATAACAATAAGGAGATGCAGTGGCCAAAACATTATTAAAAGAACCGTTCTCCCCGACGGGGAATTGAACCCCGGTCTCCCGCGTGACAGGCGGGGATACTAACCACTATACTATCGAGGACTCGCTCAAGATGTGACTGATTCTTGATTGAATGAAATTATAACAAGTATAAAAAACCTCATGTACTCAGTAAACAAACGCTTGAAATGAAAAAGGATTAATCTTTAAAAGTTCAGTATTTGAGAGCAGCAGGTTGCTTTACGTCTGGTGAAAATTCAATGATTAAATTCAACAGCAAGTCCTTTTAAATAGTAATAACAATAAGGAGATGTAGTGGCCAAAACATTACTAAAAGAACCGTTCTCCCCGACGGAGAATTGAACCCCATCTCCCGCGTGACAGGCGGGGATACTAACCACTATACTATCGAGGACTCGCTCTGGATGTGGCTGATTCTTGATTGAATGAAATTATAACAAGTATAAAAAACCTCATGTACTCAGTAAACAAACGCTTGAAATGAAAAAGGATTAATCTTTAAAAGTTCAGTATTTGAGAGCAGCAGGTTGCTTTACGTCTGGTGAAAATTCAGTGATTAAATTCAACAGCAAGTTGTTTTAAATAGTAATAACAATAAGGAGATGCAGTGGCCAAAACATTATTAAAAGAACCGTTCTCCCCGACGGGGAATTGAACCCCGGTCTCCCGCGTGACAGGCGGGGATACTAACCACTATACTATCGAGGACTCGCTCAAGATGTGACTGATTCTTGATTGAATGAAATTATAACAAGTATAAAAAACCTCGTACTCAGTAAACAAACGCTTGAAATGAAAAAGGATTAATCTTTAAAAGTTCAGTATTTGAGAGCAGCAGGTTGCTTTACGTCTGGTGAAAATTCAGTGATTAAATTCAACAGCAAGTTGTTTTAAATAGTAATAACAATAAGGAGATGCAGTGGCCAAAACATTATTAAAAGAACTGTTCTCCCCGACGGGGAATTGAACCCCGGTCTCCCGCGTGACAGGCGGGGATACTAACCACTATACTATCGAGGACTCGCTCAAGATGTGGCTAATCATTGATTGAATGAAATTATAACAAGTATACATAAGTACGCCTTTTGGCGTCATCTGGTCGAGCACCAATTGGGTCGAGGCTCAAAGAAAGCTGTCCCTTGGTGTGGACCAATCAGTTTCAAGGACAATGCATATATTATCATAGAATGTTTTCTGTTTGCATTTTGACTGCAGGTATTTTGGTTAATGCAGACATGATTCCTTGTAAAAAGGTTTTAGTTTTGTTGCCAGAAAAAAAGGGGAAAACCCTAATATTATAAGTATAAATAAACTCATATAGTGACTAAATATTCGCTTAAAATGAAGAGGGCTTCATCTGTAAAAGTTCAGTCTTTGAGAGCAGCAGGTTGCTTAACGTTTGGTGAAAAATCAGTGATTAAAGTCAACAGCAAGTCCTTTTAAATAGTCAGAACAATAGGGAGATCCTGTGGCCAAAGCGTTGTTAAAAGAGTCGTTCTCCCCGACAGGGAAATGAACCCCGGTCTCCCGCGTGACAGGCGCAGATACTAACCACTATATTATCGAGGACTCGCTCAAGATGTGGCTAATTCTTGATTGAATGAAATTATAACAAGTATAAAAACCTCATGTACTCAGTAAATAAACGCTTGAAATGAAAAAGGATTAATCTTTAAAAGTTCAGTATTTGAGAGCAGCAGGTTGCTTTACGTCTGGTGAAAATTCAATGATTAAATTCAACAGCAAGTCCTTTTAAATAGTGATAACAATAAGGAGATGTAGTGGCCAAAACATTATTAAAAGAACTGTTCCCCCCGACGGGGAATTGAACCCCGGTCTCCCGCGTGACAGGCGGGGATACTAACCACTATACTATCGAGGACTCGCTCAAAATGTGGCTAATTCTTGATTGAATGAAATAATACCAAGTGTAAATAAACTCATATAGTGAGTAAGTAATAGCTTGAAATGAAGAGGGTTTTATCTTAAAAAGTTCAGCTTTTGAGAGCAGTACGTTGTTTTAAGTTTGGTGAAAATTCAGTGAATAAAGTCCACAGCAAGTCATTTTAAATAGTCATAACTATGATAGCCAGTGGCCAAAACATTATTGAAAGAGTAGTGCTTCCCGATGGGGAATTGAACCCCACTCTCCCGCGTGACAGGCGCAGATACTAACCACTATATTATCGAGGACTCGCTCAAGATGTGGCTAATTCTTGATTGAATGAAATTATAACAAGTATAAAAAACCTCATGTACTCAGTAAACAAACGCTTGAAATGAAAAAGGATTAATCTTTAAAAGTTCAGTATTTGAGAGCAGCAGGTTGCTTTACGTCTGGTGAAAATTCAGTGATTAAATTCAACAGCAAGTTGTTTTAAATAGTAATAACAATAAGGAGATGCAGTGGCCAAAACATTATTAAAAGAACTGTTCTCCCCGACGGGGAATTGAACCCCGGTCTCCCGCGTGACAGGCGGGGATACTAACCACTATACTATCGAGGACTCGCTCAAGATGTGACTGATTCTTGATTGAATGAAATTATAACAAGTATAAAAAACCTCATGTACTCAGTAAACAAACGCTTGAAATGAAAAAGGATTAATCTTTAAAAGTTCAGTATTTGAGAGCAGCAGGTTGCTTTACGTCTGGTGAAAATTCAGTGATTAAATTCAACAGCAAGTTGTTTTAAATAGTAATAACAATAAGGAGATGCAGTGGCCAAAACATTATTAAAAGAACCGTTCTCCCCGACGGGGAATTGAACCCCGGTCTCCCGCGTGACAGGCGGGGATACTAACCACTATACTATCGAGGACTCTCTCAAGATGTGACTGATTCTTGATTGAATGAAATTATAACAAGTATACGTAAGTACGCATTTTGGCGTCATCTGGTCGAGCAACAATTGTGTCGAGGCTCAAAAGAAAGCCGTCCCTTGGTGTGGACCAATCAGTTTCAAGGACAATGCATATATTATCATAGAATGTTTTCTGTTTGCATTTTGACTGCAGGTATTTTGGTTAATGCAGACATGATTCCTTGTAAAAAGGTTTTAGTTTTGTTGCCAGAAAAAAAGGGGAAAACCCTAATATTATAAGTATAAATAAACTCATATAGTGACTAAATATTCGCTTAAAATGAAGAGGGCTTCATCTGTAAAAGTTCAGTCTTTGAGAGCAGCAGGTTGCTTAACGTTTGGTGAAAAATCAGTGATTAAAGTCAACAGCAAGTCCTTTTAAATAGTCAGAACAATAGGGAGATCCTGTGGCCAAAGCGTTGTTAAAAGAGTCGTTCTCCCCGACAGGGAAATGAACCCCGGTCTCCCGCGTGACAGGCGCAGATACTAACCACTATATTATCGAGGACTCGCTCAAGATGTGGCTAATTCTTGATTGAATGAAATTATAACAAGTATAAAAAACCTCATGTACTCAGTAAACAAACGCTTGAAATGAAAAAGGATTAATCTTTAAAAGTTCAGTATTTGAGAGCAGCAGGTTGCTTTACGTCTGGTGAAAATTCAGTGATTAAATTCAACAGCAAGTCCTTTTAAATAGTAATAACAATAAGGAGATGCAGTGGCCAAAACATTATTAAAAGAACCGTTCTCCCCGACGGGGAATTGAACCCCGGTCTCCCGCGTGACAGGCGGGGATACTAACCACTATACTATCGAGGACTCTCTCAAGATGTGACTGATTCTTGATTGAATGAAATTATAACAAGTATACATAAGTACGCCTTTTGGCGTCATCTGGTCGAGCACCAATTGGGTCGAGGCTCAAAAGAAAGCTGTCCCTTGGTGTGGACCAATCAGTTTCAAGGACAATGCATATATTATCATAGAATGTTTTCTGTTTGCATTTTGACTGCAGGTATTTTGGTTAATGCAGACATGATTCCTTGTAAAAAGGTTTTAGTTTTGTTGCCAGAAAAAAAGGGGAAAACCCTAATATTATAAGTATAAATAAACTCATATAGTGACTAAATATTCGCTTAAAATGAAGAGGGCTTCATCTGTAAAAGTTCAGTCTTTGAGAGCAGCAGGTTGCTTAACGTTTGGTGAAAAATCAGTGATTAAAGTCAACAGCAAGTCCTTTTAAATAGTCAGAACAATAGGGAGATCCTGTGGCC